GACAGCCGTGCCCGTCTAGGGGCAAGAAGACTGGAGGAGTCTGGCAGCCCCTTTTCCGACTAAAACCTGCTATTCGAAGGCCCGTGCGCACACGCACACCCCCACACACACAAACACCCCCCCCCACACCCCTTGCAAGTCAGCTGCAGCACTCGAAAGCTCCTTCGAGGGGAAAAGGTGCTGCCGGATCCCTCCGCTCCTCCTTTGTGTCCCCCCCCCAGTCCCTGGGCTTTAGGAAGGCGCAGGCCCCGGGCTCTTGGGCCTCGCTCAGTCCTGGCTTGGTGCTGAGCAGTCCTTCCCAGAGGCCCGGCTCTCCGCCTGCCCGGGCGCTGCCCCCAGCGCACTCTGGATCTCTCTGCGGGAATGCGAGAGGGGCAGCGGGGGGGGGGGTCCTCCTGCTGTGTGAGGGAGGGGGCACCGGGCAGGGGAAGGCGGGGAGGAAGGCTCTTCCGCACCCACCAGCCTCCCAGCCCAGGGAGACCCCGTGGCTTTGGGCCCCTCGGAGAAGGGGGGCCGAGTGGGCATCTCGAGGAGTTCTGGAGGGGGGGGGGGGATCCTCCTGCTCAGTGAGGGAAGGGGCACCGGGCAGGGGAAGGCGGGGAGGAAGGCTCTTCCGCACCCACCAGCCTCCCAGCCCAGGGAGACCCCGTGGCTTTGGGCCCCTCGGAGAAGGGGGGCCGAGTGGGCATCTCGAGGAGTTCTGGAGTGGGTGGGGGGGAGAGGTTGGCAGCCTGAGGCTTCAGCGGGAAGCAAGACGGTCCTTTGGCCTTGGCTGGGCAAACGTTTGCGCCGAGGAGCTGTGGGAAAGTGGCAGAGGAGGAAAGCACTCGATAGTGAAAAGGCTGCTCCTCCTCTTGGCATCTTGAAGAGGCAAACAGTGCCCAACAGCCAAAATGAAAGCAAGCCGGTTGGGGCCCTGGAAAAGCGTGCCCCTCCCTCTACCAGTGAGGGCCCCAGACACTGGGGGGCATCCCTCCGGAGAAGAGGGGCCCCTTTATCCGCCCCCACCAGGACAGGGCCTGGCCCGCCGGGATCGGTCCCACCCCCTCCTGCTCCCAGAGCCAAGAAGATGGCAGGCAGGAGCAGGGGGTGCGCAGGGACATGGAATCCCCGCCCGCCCGCTTTTAATGTGCTCGGGAACAGCCTTGCCGCTACGCCCCAAAGCCCTTGCTCACTTGCGGTGGGGACCAGGCCCCTCGCCCCCAACTAGCCAACTAGGATCCTGGGGCTGGCACGGCAAGGTGGCGCAGGGGACAAATGGGCGGGTGGGGAGAATGTGGAGGAGGAACCCGGAAGGAGAGAAACCTTGGTGGGTGGTGAGCGTTGAAGCCGAGTAGAAAACGGAGGGGCGACTCACGATGTCGCCCTGCGTTGAGTGAGTAAGTGAGGACGTGAATCACTCGCTGTGTTTGCAGGAGTTGTCCGCGATCTCCTTGATAAGCGGGAGGCCCCCGAAAGGGCTTCTCCAGATTTTGTTAGTCTCGGCTGCTGGATGCGGAAAGGTCAAAGTCCCTCGGGTAGGATGCCCACCTGGTTTCCTAACCGGTTTCCTAAACCGACGCTGTGCACTTTGCCAGAAATAGGAGCTATTTCTTTGTTCGTCTGAATGGCGCCCCCCCC